TACTTGCGTACCTTGCACCTCCGAAATCGCTTCCTGACAGTGACGTCATCGGCGACAAATGCCTTAGGTCACAGGGTTAGTCGACAGACAGTGGCCAGGAGACTTAGGGCTCATGGAATCAGGGCTTTTAGACCATACAAAGGACAGCTATTGACAGCGCAACATCGTCATCTGCGATTGAGATGGGCCCGAACTGTACGACGTTGGCAACGACGTGACTGGCAGAGGGTTGTCTTCACTGATGAAAGTTGATTCTGTATGTTTAGGGCTGATGGAAGACGTGTTTACCGCCGAAGGGGTGAATGAACGGCAGCGTGTTGCGTGCAGGAGGTCGTACCATATGGTGGAGGGAGTGTCATGGTGTGGGGAGGGATCTGTTGGCAGGAGAGGACACCGCTGGTCATCGTTGACGGAAACTTGACAGCTCTGCGCTACATGGATAACATTCTTCGTCCAGTTGTCCTACCATTTCTCCAACAGCAGCCACGTGGTGTCATTTATCAGCATGACAACGCTAGAGCCCATACAGCCAGAATTGTCACTAACTTCCTTGCAGCCAACAACGTCAACGACATGCCATGGCCTGTACGCTCACCCGACATGTCCCCTATAGAACACCTCTGGGACTTGATGGATCGTCGTGTTCGACAACGACCACACTCTCCAGCCAACCGGCAAGAACTGATCTTGGCCCTCCAAGAAGAATGGCGTCAAATCCCAGGTGACCTCATCAGACGACTGACTTTTTCTGTGCGTCAAATATTTTTTGCGTGTATTGAGGCATTTGGTGGTCACACACGCTACTAATGACTTGTTATTGAACGTGAGCAATTGTTTATGTACTCTGCCTATTGTCCATGATTCTGAAAGCTCGACTTTTGTACCACACCCAACTTTCGGGGGCTCTGACGTCATTCTCGGTCGCGGTATGATTGTCATTTTCAGTGTTGATTATGTTGATATATTGTTCTTCTCAATACACTTTACTTCATGCATGTATGTTTTGTTGTTTTTGAGCAAGAGTGATTTCAAACTCTGGTAAAGTTTCTTTTGGACGTCAGTTTATGTCCTTCCATGTAGAGGCTCGAAAAGAATCCCGACCAGAGTTCACATGACGAGATTTAGGATTCTGTTGTTGATGCTGGAAATCTGCAGGCCGTTTCTGGATCTTGTATTAGATCGTGGATTCTTGAAACTTCTGACCAGTTGATGATGCAATGGCTTCCTTCACTGACTTCAGTCTGCCGTTGAATATCTGTGGAGCTGTAATAGGCTGTGATAGCATGGATCTTCTTAGCAGCCCTTTGAATCATATGATGAACTTGTTGTAGCAGATGATTTCTTTGCATGAGCAGGAACTGTGCTGACATCCAAACTTGTGCTGATTGAAGATCTTCCTGCATATCATATGGTCCAGTGAGCTGTGAATAAACCCGGTCTGCTGTAGTGTCATCTCCATGGGGGTGTCTAAGGGAAGACCTTCGCTCTAATTGTTCGGGGGAATGACGTGGCGAATTCCAGCTGCAATCCAGTTAATATATGAACTGATATTAATCATCTGTTTATTGATGTTGTCAATACTAGGCTGTTGTGCGAAAGGGGCATCGTGTGTCTTGTAAGCACTTTTATTATAAGCAGGCATACCAAGTCTGATATTATGCGCCGATGAAGTGTTCAATGATGCTTCGATTTTCTTGATGACGTCATATGTCATCAATATATGACGGACAGGGGAAATTCTTCAGTTTTGCTGACAGGTTCTTCATACCCAGTACATTCTAAGAAGGGTTTGGCAGCCGTTTTGTCTTTGTCTTTGGTTTGTAATTATCCCCCATGAAGAACCAGTGTTAGCGATAGAACCGCATCCCCTGCTCAGGCTGCGCTGGGGGTAGGACGTATGGTTGGGGGTAGAATAACCCTGGCCATCTGATCTATGGCTAACGGAGCAGGAATCACGTGTTCTATAACTGTATGATAGTGACATAACATCCGCTTTGCTTTCCCCGCCCGTATAACTTGACTGTGTGACGGTATGGGATGGCGCACGCTTGGGAATTCTATCCTGATTTGTACGAGTTTTGTTATCAGCTCATCTATCACAGTGGCTAGAAGATGACTGGTGTGTATTTCTGTGCTCACTGTGATGCGATGTCCGTGATTCACGATCTACCCTATGATGTGCGTGGTAGGGAGAGGATCTATGAGATTCTCCATCTCTTTTTATGACTCTCCTACTGTCCTCATAATAATCTGATTCAGCTTGACTGTGTGAGTGTCGGCTGTGGGAGGATGCCCTGTCATATTCAGTGTTAGATCTCTTTTGAATCTTGTGTTGTGCGATGGATTCTTTTAGATATGAGATTTCATGAGACATTGATTGCATACGTTTGTCAATCATTACAGACATGGAATTGGTTATTTTTTCCGTGAACTCATTTAAGTTAAAGGGAAAACGTGGCATAGAGTGGAAATCAGTTGCTTCTTCCAAGCCTAGATTATCCACCTTACCAGCCGCTTCTGGATGTACGTGACTGGTTACATTAAAACCTGAAAGGTACATCGGTTCCTTAACTATATTGGGAGAGTGGGATGAGCAACAAGATCTCTTCTCTTCAGAAGGCGAGAAGGCGTCCCCACGCAACACTCGCTTGTCACCCAAATTATTTTCTTTAGGTGTCACAACGGACTTAATCTTTTTTTTACAGGAAGCAGATGAATATTTTGCTGATGCTCTAGTGTTCTTTTTATAATCAGGGTCATTGAGCCATGCTTAGAAAGTTTCTCAAACTTCTCCTTGGACAAAGGTTCACAATAACTGCATCTTGATTTTTGCATGCAATTGCTTTTCTTGCATGATAGGCACCTAGGGTGAGGGTCACCAGAGATTTGATGTTGCCCACAACCTGAACAGACAGGCGTCTCTTTTTTGGATGAAATCCTCATCCCACAACACGTTCTCTAACTAATTACTTACGAGAGCCTTCTGCCTTCTTATACCCCTGTTCTCTGTTTGTAGAACCCCTCACTGCTTGTCTTTAGTGAAGCTTGAGATGATCTAGTGTGGCTTGTAAGTGTGGAACAGCAATCATGTGTACAGATGTATGCAACAAAATATTTTCCTTGTTGTCATCTGGACACACAGGAAAGAAGTGAGGTGATTCCCGCCTTGCGCATGTGCAGTGGCGTCTCTGACGAGGGATAGGGTTTCCTTCACAACTATTAGATATGTTGGCAGTGAAGAGGACGTCTGTTGAAAATTTATTCAAATTTGTAGTGTGGTTCTCAGCATAAACAGGAATTTATGGCTATGATGTAATAGAGTTAGGGTATTCATGAGAATTATGTATTATTTGAATATATAAGTGTATTTTATTGTTCACTTGACAACATCTGCTTCAAATTTCCTTTGCTCATATATTGTTTAGAATGTTTAAAGTAAACACTCAAAGCAAGTGACAGCTTATTTTATAGCTAATATTAGAATTATTATCATGGTTTTACAAAACCGGTTCCAATAATTATAATTCATTGTTACTATTAATCAAAATATTTGAAACTTGTCTGCATAAGAAGTAAATTCTGAATGGTTAATTTGATTTACTCAATATTCACGATTAGCATGAATTATTCAAGTGACCCTGCCAAGTAGCATTCAGAAATGTGATTTGACAGTAAGATCAATCACTAATGTTCTTCCAGGAAAGCTGTAACCTCCACTTAACAAGACCTATTTATCTACACGGTGTAAACATGACAGATCATAACCATATATCATAATGTTTGAGCTGTGTATACATATACAGTGATCGCTCGCTATTGCGCTACCAATGGGGTCCAAATAATTGGTGGGCGTTATAGAAGATGAGCCGTTTAACCGAGGCCGAGGCGGGGGAGCGCGCTCGGCAAATCTCAAATCATCAGTAGGCCTATGTGTATATCTCACGTCACGTCAAAATAGTATATATTTTTATGGACCTAGATCTACCTGTAATATCATTCATTTATTAAATCTGTCATATTTCACAATGTCTGAAATACGTATTCCATTCTAATTTATCATTTTTTATCAATAAATTAAAAAATTATTCACTATTTCCCGCGATGTTATTGAAAATAAGATTCTCGGACACACATTTCGACAACGGGTCCGCATCGAACATGTCAAAGAGCAAAAAAAAGACTATTTTAAGCAAATCTTTAAATATATTATACAAAGTGATAAATAAAATCAACAAAAATATATCTAAAAGTAATCAAACTTACATCTAAGTTATTATTTCCATCGTTTCGTGCGATCGCGTGTAATGTAAGTCAAATGACATCTCGGCTTTCGTCGCCTTGAATTCTCGGCTCGGACACAACGTTTAATGCAAAAATATATGCATGAAAAATCTTTGTCACAGCTCGTAACCTAGCACGATACATTCGCGAAGTTCCATATTTTTAATATATATCGTGATTTCCTGCTTAAAACGTTCAGAATAACACGATTTAACAAAAAATCTTTCGCTAACTTCTGAAATTTATCAAACACGAGCTTTGTATCACAGCTTGATTGGCTGCCTGAGGTCACGTGCTCAAAATTGACCAATCACGAAACTTGTAGCAGATTTCGGCAAGAAAGCGTCATTAGAAACAAATTTTAATCCAATGAAATCGCTTGTTATAACTACGGGGAAAAAACAGGCGATGTTACGAAAGCGCGATTACGAAATGAATGACCGCCGTGTTGTGACAGCAACTACATGTGTGTGACAGTTTAGCCTTAAATTGGATTGCCCACTAATTAAGAATATAAACTTCACTTGTGGTTCTCTTTTATTGCATGCATGCGCTTCTAAGATCAAAGGATGTATAGTGTGAAAAGTTAACTAGTTGAACAATCGTATTTCCGGGACTTGCCGCGGATGTTTTCAAACAGATTATTAGAACTCCATTCAGCGATAAACGGTTGATTATGCAATGAGAAGCGTTATGTGCAAATGAACAACGAACAACAATACAATTATGTCTGTGTAAAACTCTCAGTAATAAAAGTGTACATAAATTTTGGGAGCCATGCGTTACCGCGCGTAGTAACCGAGGTAGCGCTTTATCGAAGAGCGCAATAGCGAGCGATCACTGTACCTAATATTTCTCAAGGTCCTAACTCCCAAACAAATTGACTTCTTCACAATATTAGGAAACATCAACAATAAACAGACATTCACATCCTGTGATCACAGCCTACAGCTTAGATACCAGTTTGACCTGGTGAGAGTCAGTTTGTGTCTTGCTAAGCATGACCGCCATCTTGATGACCTTGATCAGCTGGTCAAGGACATGGAAAGGCACAGTTTTGTTGACTGGCAGGTACACAACATGGTCAATGAGATACTTGGCCTCGTGAGGGTAGCGCTGGTTCACAGATGCAGCAGGATGCATTGTAGAGTTGCCGTTTTCAGGTTCGATAATGTTGAGCTGTGTTGCACCGCGGTAGGCATCGACACCAAATGCATTTAGTTGTTCCACAAAATTGTCAGGATTGTCCTGAAATTACAACATGGATATCAAAGTGTATGCTCCATGGCTTTAAACTGTCACTAACCTTGTCTGAAAGAAGCATGTCAAAAGTTGAGTGATACACTGCTATTTACAATTATTTAGCAACTTCGCCGTTAACCCTCCGACCAAGTGACTATTCATCTACTATTGTTATCAATGTCATGAGCATTTCTAAGGAAAGTTTCCCCATGTCAAACCCTTCATTAAAAAACAGTTGTAAAGCCATAAAAAATATTCCTTTGTCAGTTGTTTTGGGTTACAAAAAATCCTATTTGACTATTGTGCACCACTCTCATACCTACCACAAGTATAGGAAACAGCCAATAGTTGTTGTGTTCAAGGCCTGCCCCAACAATCTCAATGTCCTCGGGCAGACGGTGCTGTACATACTCCCCCTTGAGGCGCCGTGTACAAAACTCTGCCATGGAGAAGTTAGACTGTCTCTCCAGCATCATGTCCAATAACGCTGTGGAGGGGCGGTGCCGAATCTTGGCCATCATATCCTCTGGAAACCCTCGCAGCATCTTGATCACCTTCTTCTTGTGATCTATTCCCAGACTTCGAGATGCGAAAACAAGAGGTTTGATAATACTTGGACAGTTAAGAAATATGTAAACCAAGGAATACTTGAGAATCTTCTTGAGATACTCTCCATTGGTTCGAGTTGGGTAGGAGTTGTGGAGGTCTAACATTTTCTGGTAAACATCCTGATCTCTCACTTTAGCTATGCCTCCTCCGAATGAGGTATAGAACTTGATGACGCCAAAGCTGAATAGTGAGATGTCACTTTCAGGGTGTCCAATATGACTGAAGCCGCAAAATGCTTCTGCACAATCTTCTACCACATAAAGTTTATGTTTCTTGGCAAAATGTATGATTGGTTCCATGTCAAACATCTTGCCATACAAGTGAGAAACCAAAATGGCCACAGTTTTGTCTGTCAGTAGATCTGTCATCCTTTCCGTTTTGGGAGCAACATCTTCGATGTTTACATCTAGTGGCACAATCTTTAATCCATGTTCCCGTAAAATATAAGCCATTGATGGAATGTTGATAGCAGACATTATGATCTCCGACTGTGGTGGAAAATTCATAACTGTGAGGAAAAGGTCAAAGCCACTTCTGACAGAGAGACATGGTATCACTGGGTTTGGGTTTGTGTGGGATGTCCATAGATTTTGTAACTCTCTTATCAAACCATTTCTGTCCTTGTCAAAGCTCATACATTTTGATACAGCAGAAGTCAAGTCCTTTGCATCACAATCTGAAAAAAAGTTGTATGAAAAAGAACAATGATAATAAAAGATTTACAACTGAGAATTTTAACATGTCGACTAAAACACCGAACTCTTTCAATGAACAGGTAAATTCGTTACAGTTTTCTAGTTTTTTAGTTTCATTTAGTCATTTTAGTGATCAGGTGATTGATTGAATACAACTTGGACATACAGAATCAAATGACAAAAAAGTATATTTCCAGATTTCTCTTCTTGCCCTGGATGCCCGAATGTTGGGTCTCAATACATGGCCCAAATGTACAATATCATTTTCTTATGTCATACACATAACATCATTGCTGCTACGGCGTTATCATGATCATGTCATGACATCATGCTATGGCATCTTGTCATGACATCATCCTTGCTACAGCATCATGATCATGTCATGACATCATTCCTACTGTAGCATCTTGTCATGACATCATCCTTGCTACAGCATCATGATCATGTCATGACATCATTCCCACTGTAGCATCTTGTCATGACATCATCCTTGCTACAGCATCATGATCATGTCATGACATCATTCCTGCTACAGCATCATCATGTCATGACATGATTCCCACTGTAGCATCTTATCATGACATCATTCCTGCTACAGCATCATGATCATGTCATGACATCATTACCACTGTAGCATCTTGTCATGACATCATCCTTGCTACAGCATCATGATCATGTCATGACATCATTCCCACTGTAGCATCTTGTCATGACATCATCCTTGCTACAGCATCATGATCATGTCATGACATCATTCCCACTGTAGCAGCTTGTCATGACATCATCCTTGCTACAGCATCATGATCATCTCATGACATCATTCCCACTGTAGCATCTTGTCATGACATCATCCTTGCTACAGCATCATGATCATGTCATGACATCATTCCTGCTACAGCATCATCGTGTCATGAAATGATTCCCACTGTAGCATCTTGTCATGACATCATTCCTGCTACAGCATCACCATCATCATGTTATGACATCATTCACACTGTAGCATCTTGTCATGACATCATTCCCACTGTAGCATCTTGTCATGACATCATTCCTGCTACAGCATCACCATCATCATGTTATGGCATCATTCGCGCTGTAGCATCTTGTCATAACATCATTCCTGCTACAGCATCACCATCATCATGTTATGACATCATTCGCGCTGTAGCATCTTGTCATCACATCATTCCTGCTACAGCATCACCATCATCATGTTATGACATCATTCACGCTGTAGCATCTTGTCATGACATCATTCCCACTGTAGCATCTTGTCATGACACCATTCTTGCTACAGCATCACCATCATCATGTTATGGCATCATTCGCGCTGTAGCATCTTGTCATGACATCATTCCCACTGTAGCATCTTGTCATGACACCATTCTTGCTACAGCATCACCATCATCATGTCATGACATCATTCCTGCTTCAGTATCATGCTCACTACATTGTCAGATAGTCCTGAGACTTCTCCAGAGCACATACAGGGGTTCAAATCAGATACACATCACATTTTGGTCATTTCCTTTTTACTTTCCATCTTTATACAATACATAAACAGTGGATGTTTGTGCATAACCAAACTGAGATCAGACAAGAAGGTAAACAAGACATACCAATATACACACACGTGTATGGCAATATGGAGGAGTACGCCATCATTACTTCGGCCTATCTGCACAACACCTACAAAAGAAAGTGAACATTACCTTCATGCAAGTATATCCACATACATGACATATGCAGCATATGTCATACAAACATAACCTGATACATTTTTAGGATTATTATTTCAAGAATCCTTTTCCAAAATGGAACAAGTTACAAACAATTATGAAAATCACTCTTCTGTGGTATAGACTTGCCAATGCATCTGGTGAAGATGCTCATTCACAATACATATCATCTATGAGTAGGATAAAGTAATCCCTGCACCCCCTTTGCAGCAACATGCCACGGTGTGCTGCTATCACGTGTACCTATTACTGGTAGTATTACATATTTCTGGCACACAGCTGTCATCACTAAACCTGTTGCTGATAATCCATACTGCCCATCATGCTTCATTACCACCATAGTGCATTCTGAGTAGTCAGGCAGGAATACCATTGCTCTAATATGTGAATTTGTGTTAAAACCAAATAAACTCTTTCTCTGTATCAAACATGTCAAAGAAAAGAAAATGAATATCAAATCTAGACCCGACATGAAGAAATATCTTGTTTCAGTTCCTACCTTTAACAAGACAGCTTGACAACTTGGTGTATGTGTCCAGGTGGCTGGTCTGAGCTGGTGTGACAAGGGGCCTCTAACAAGTGCTTGTTACTTCACATGTGGGTGGGGTTGTCTCATCCTGAAAATAATTGTTTTATTGATGGCATGAATAACACATCAAGGTTTGACATGTGTTGTTTGTCCCGGTAACAAGCAGGACGAGTGTCACAGATCAACCTATAGTCACAGCAAACACTTTCTGGACAACTTCAAACCATCAGTTTTAAGAACAATGACCTGTAGTTTAAACAAGGCACAAGTTTGAAAGGGATTCACAGACAAGACCAATGGCCCTAGAAAGATCTACCACTATTTGCTGAATCGAATACAGCTAAGTGATCACATGTTCATCAGAATTGGCTGTCAGATTAAACTTACAACTAAAACAACTGTATAAGAAGATGTAGGTTTCTTCTTGCTCAGGTAATTATCATATACATAACTGCTGTGACGCAGGCAAGTTGTAATAGACTTCACATCCTATACTTAGTATCTGACTGCCCATATTGATGCAAGGATAAATATTGAGGCCATCATTGTCACACATCTTCAACCACACAATCTACATACAATCTCAATCTTTGTCACACATCTTCATCCACACAATCTCCATCTTTGTCACACATCTTCATCCACACAATCTACATACAATCTCCATCTTTGTCACACATCTTCATTCAAACAATCTCCATCTTTGTCACACATCTTCGTCCACACAATCTACATACAATCTCCATCTTTGTCACACATCTTCGTCCACACAATCTACATACAATCTCCATCTTTGTCACACATCTTCATCCACACAATCTCCATCTTTGTCACACATCTTCATTCACACAATCTCCATCTTTGTCACACATCTTCAACCACACAATCTACATACAATCTCCATCTTTGTCACACATCTTCATCCACACAATCTACATACAATCTCCATCTTTGTCACACATCTTCATTCAAACAATCTCCATCTTTGTCACACATCTTCGTCCACACAATCTACATGTATACAATCTCCATCTTTGTCACACATCTTCGTCCACACAATCTACATACAATCTCCATCTTTGTCACACATCTTCATTCACACAATCTCCATCTTTGTCACACATCTTCATTCACACAATCTCCATCTTTGTCACACATCTTCGTCAACACAATCTACATACAATCTCCATCTTTGTCACACATCTTCATTCACACAATCTCCATCTTTGTCACACATCTTCATTCACACAATCTCCATCTTTGTCACACATCTTCAACCACACAATCTACATACAATCTCCATCTTTGTCACACATCTTCATTCACACAATCTCCATCTTTGTCACACATCTTCAACCACACAATCTCCATCTTTGTCACACATCTTCAACCACACAATCTACATACAATCTCCATCTTTGTCACACATCTTCATCCACACAATCTATATACAATCTCCATCTTTGTCACATATCTTCATTCACACAATCTCCATCTTTGTCACACATCTTCGTCCACACAATCTACATACAATCTCCTTCTTTGTCACACATCTTCATTCACACAATCTCCATCTTTGTCACACATCTTCGTCCACACAATCTACATACAATCTCCATCTTTGTCACACATCTTCATTCACACAATCTCCATCTTTGTCACACATCTTCATTCACACAATCTCCATCTTTGTCACACATCTTCAACCACACAATCTACATACAATCTCCATCTTTGTCACACATCTTCATTCACACAATCTCCATCTTTGTCACACATCTTCAACCACACAATCTACATACAATCTCCATCTTTGTCACACATCTTCATCCACACAATCTATATACAATCTCCATCTTTGGCACATATCTTCATTCACACAATCTCCATCTTTGTCACACATCTTCGTCCACACAATCTACATACAATCTCCATCTTTGTCACACATCTTCATCCAGACAATCTCCATCTTTGTCACACATCTTCATTCACACAATCTCCATCTTTGTCACACATCTTCATCCACACAATTTCCATCTTTGTCACACATCTTCATCCACACAATCTACATACAATCTCCATCTCTGTCACACATCTTCATCCACACAATCTCCATCTTTGTCACACATCTTCATCCACACAATCTACATACCATCTCCATCTCTGTCACACATCTTCATCCACACAATCTCCATCTTTGTCACACATCTTCATCCACACAATCTCCATCTGTCTCACATCTTCATCCACACAATCTCCATCTCTGTCTCACATCTTCATCCACACATTCTCCATCTTTGTCACACATCTTCATCCACACAATCTACATACAATCTCCATCTTTGTCACACATCTTCATCCACACAATCTCCATCTTTGTCACACATCTTCATCCACACAATTTCCATCTTTGTCACACATCTTCATCCAGACAATCTATATACAATCTCCATCTTTGTCACACATCTTCATCCAGACAATCTGCATCTTTGTCACACATCTTCATCCACACAATCTCCTTCTTTGTCACACATCTTCATCCACACAATCTCCATACAATCTCCATCTTTGTCACACATCTTCATCCACACAATCTCCATCTTTGTCACACATCTTCATTCACACAATTTCCATCTTTGTCACACATCTTCATCCATACAATCTCCATCTTTGTCACACATCTTCATCCACACAATCTCCATCTTTGTCACACATCTTCATCCACACAATCTACACATAATGCCATGAATATTAGCACTTGTGTATCCAGGCCTGTATATAATGTCTAGTGGAAAGAGATCATTGTAAGTGCCAGCCAATGAGTGAGGTGTTTGGTAGTGACCTTGTCAGCTTATAATTAAATTTAGAAATACCTTCCCTTAGTTCATGTTGTTGTTGTTTTCAACACTGGGATATACCCGGTACTACATCATTTACAGAGATGTGAAATCTCTGCAGAAACGCGGAAAATCACATTTTTTAAAACAGTAGTCCTCGGAATAAATCATCTTCCTTGTAAATATATAATCAAACAATTAAAAAAGAAATTCTCTGAAAAATATTATCGTGTTTCTGGCCAACCATCACGAATTGTCCTGTTTTCGATCAGAGGTTACTGCATCATATATGCCTTTACTATTATTCATTACACAAACATTTTCTATCACAAATACTTGCCCTATAACACAGGGTGTGGCATCACACAGAAATTGTAAATACTCAGAAGATGGCTTGTTCTTAAGATAAAGTTGTCTTTTAGGCCATAAGTGAATGAGATGTTTTACAGTTGTTCGTGTAATTAGCGAGAAAACTATGAATGTTTCTTCAGCGTTCAAAAACCAATAACACTGGGATATATGTTGTAGTAATGTCTTATGTTTGCAATGTTGTTTTTTTTTTTTTCGAGGTTAGTATAAAGTAAGTTTTTTTCAATATGGTTCAACATGGGTAAAGAGTCAGACATTGCACGCTTGTGACAGCTGTCCTTGTGTCTGGGGGACGGGGGTTGAAGTTTATGGCAGTATTGCTCCAAGACAAGGCAGGTAGCCGGGTGTGCGGAAGCTATGCCTGATTTTTAAAAAAATACTGATTCAACTTCGAAATTTTACTACATCCGCCATCTTTGTTTATTTGACTTGACTGTTGGCATAGACTTATTACATTTCTTGGTTTGAAGGTTGTCCAAATTGAATGAAATTGCTTAAAATCCAACCAAATGTTTAAAACAATTCTGGGGGCGCATGCCCTTAGACCCCCCTAGAGTTTTCCTCTTTTTGGGGCAAAACCTGCTCAAATCCCTGCATTTAAGAACATTTGGTAGAGAGCTGACGTATCATAGAGTCTGTTATGTACTCAACAACAAAAGTTCTTGTGACCATGGTGACACAATTATTTTAGTGTATTTTTCAAACAAGTAAAGTTTGGTTTTCAATATTGTAGTACATGTATTGAATCAAGTCACAAAAACGCAACTGCTATAGAAAATACCTATACAAACTTATCCTGTTTAGTTGGCTTCATGTCCCATTGGCTTCCACCTTTATGTTCTCTGTCCATCATGTTGTGCCAGTATTATCCTTCTGTTGTCATTACTTACTCAAGTTACCCACTCATGTATGTAATTGTTACTGTTAATCATCTGCTGTTAATCCTCCACCTACCATATATATTCTGTACTATGTTCCTCATTCAGTCTTGCTTGACAACGGTATAAGGATCTATACCGAACCGTCGCCTTTACAGCATTAAAGAATGGAAGAAAGTAGGTAGTTTTATGTTCGAATGAGTGAGTGAGTGAGTGAGTATGGTTTTACGCCGCTTTTAGCAATATTCCAGCAATATCACGGCGGGGGACACCAGATATGGGCTTCACACATTGTACCCATGTCAGGAATCGAACCCGGGTCTTCGGCGCGATGAGCGAAGGCTTTAACCACTGGGGGGGGGGGGGGGGGCGGTCGGGTAGCCTAGTGGTTAAAGCGTTCGCTCGTCACACCGAAGACCCGGGTTCGATTCCCGAAATGGGTACAATGTGTGAAGCCCATTTCTGGTGTCCCCCGCCGTGATATTGCTGGAATATTGCTAAAAGCGGCGTAAAACTATACTCAATCAATTGAACCACGAGGCTACCCGACTGCCCCTTTATGTTCGAATGAGCTACTTCATTAGAGGGCATTATATTTTTTGAAAATCAAATTCCATTTATTCACGATCGTTAATCCCAAACTGTATCACATACCGCTGGGAACCTTTGTGGAAGGGGACATGGCTACGTTCCGCAGAGCTATCCTACATCAGCATAGAAATGAATACACGTCTCCTAATGTAGGCTTCAAACATAGTCGGTTAAATATGTATCATAACCATTTTCTGTGACACATGTTTAACTTAAAACATATTTCATTTACATGAAAAGGATTGGGCACAAATTGTCGCAAGTTTGATCACCCTCTCCCACAGATTTACACATATGATCAGTTACAATTGATACACTAAATGACAGAAAGGAAATGAGAGAAATAGAGTAACAAATGTACATGATATGTACATTAACATTTGCTTGCAGAAAGTTACTAGCGTCAACATGGT